GTCCCGGTGCGGTGGGGGGGGGGTTGGGTTTTGGGCAGGAGTGGCTAGCCCTGTCCCCTGGCGCGCTTGTTGTGGGGGGTCTCTTGGCTTTCCTCGTGTGAGAAATAATCAGGCCTTCACATTCATTTGGCTGCTTTAAGGGATCCGGGAGGGGGTAAGCGAGAGATTTGGGTCCCCTCAGACCTCTCCACAGAGGGCAGGGTCATTAGCGCCCCCTCCCCGCCTGCATGTGAGAGAAGAAAGGGGGCCACCTGGTTCAAAGGGTTGGAAAGATGGTGTCCCCCCCCGCCAGGTGCTCTGCGTGCTTCATCCCCAGCAAGAGCTAGTGCACCTCTGGCCCCAACCCATTTTGTAGATGCAGAAGGATGGTGTTGTTCTAGAGACCTGTATCTCTGAGGAGGGCTGAGGGGAGACAAGTCACCCTATCTATCCATTTGTCTGTCTAGATGCGGAGATCTACATCAACACCATCCTTGTGCAGCATTATCTATAGATAATATATCTCCATAGATAGATATCTACAGATATGGCTCTATAGATAAATATCTTGTTTAGGTAGTCTCTAAGGCTGGGGCCAGATGTGCAGACCCATTTGGTTTGTGGCACCACAAAGCACACGCCCAGCATGCAAAACCATGCCATGCACTGCAAATTTGCAGCACAGAGGCAAAATTTGCCGTCGAACACCATGAAAAAAAGCAGCACAGCGCATGCCGCAAGAGTGTGCGCTGGCAGACATGGGGCTTTGGCCTCCTGAGAAGATGCTCCAGTTGCTGGCCAGAGCATCTCCCCTCCTTTAGTTCCACCCTGGCTCCTTCAGCATGCTGGGAGCCAGGAGGAGTAGGCAAACAACAGTTTTCCCAAAGTAGGATGTGTTGTCCTGCACCAAAGCACACATGCAGGGGCGGGCACAGCAGCAAAAAGTGACACAAACTTGTGCCACTACTCTTTTTGCTACTGCAAGTGCATGCCCCTGCATGTGGGGACACACTCTTAGGCCACATCCAAAAGAGCACAGATGTTTGGTTCCCTGGGAACAACTAACAGTGGGATATCTTGTGCCACCACTACTTGTCCCTGGGGAACACCTGTGCCATGTGTCCTCTAGCACATGGCAAGTTACCCTGGGTAGGGGAGGCTGGGGCCAACTCTGGACTGGCCCCAGCAGTCTTACCTGGGGTGCTAGGGCCCTTCTTGGGCTGTAGCAGCAGCAACCAGCCAGGCTTTGGTTCTGAGCAGTGCACACTGCCCCTATATGCGCTGCTCTGCTTTTTTTTTTTTTTTTGGCACATTTTTTTGACCCCTGGATATCTGAACGTTCAGTATGTGGCGTCTCAAACATGGCTGCAGTGCCACATACCGCATGCTGCGCTCATCTGAACATGGCCTAAGGGGTAAATCTACCCTTCCTTCCATCTGACTTCAGACTAATATGGGTGACAGTATCTCATTGGGCGTATCTACAAGGCAAAGCAATAAACTCCTGCACAGGGTGGGCAGTCTGCCAGCCCCAGACTGCTCCAACCCGGCTCAGCGTGCTGCGGAGGGGCCAGCTGCAGCATGAGGTTTCTCCAGTCTGGGCCTAGCCAGAAGGCAACACCCACACTGACGCGCTCTTGCGCCCCAGCCAGCTCCATCAACATCTACACATGCGTTGGTAAGCACAAAAGGATCCTGCAGTAGGAAAGTACTTGTTTTTACAAGTACTAACCTACAGCAAAGTTAATTAGTTTTCTGTGACCTAATAGGGCCACACATGTGGACACTGAGACTTTACTGCAGAGCTAATTAGTCAGTTCTCCAATAAACAAGTCATGTAGATGCATCCATTGTTATGTAAAACACCCATAACCACAAACTCCAAGCTAGATTTGTCTTAATTCTCTCCTCACTCCTGTCTCCTTTGTCTCAGGGATCTCCTAAATTCTTGAAGACCTGTCTGCCTGGGTGCGTAAGAAGAGTCTCATGTTCTCAGTGTCTTAGCCTCTGGCAAGGTTTGCACTTTGCTGATGGCCTTTGTAATGGCCAAAAGGGTCATTTTAAAGAAAATAAGTTGACTTTTTTTTTAAACCAGGCTTTTAAAGAAAGCCTCAGACAAACAGAAATGCATCCACAGTTGTTTCAAATCCCAATAAAAAACAAGTGGTGTTTAAACTTATAAAAATCCTCTGCAACAAAAGACCCTGAATGAGAAATTATCCATAAGCACTAAGTTTTTGGAATTATAAACTTCATTGCTAAACAAGAAAGAAAGATTTCTACACC